AGTAATCATAATAATAATAATAATAATAATAATAATAATAATGCTTCTTGTGCTACCTACAAGAAGCACTGCCTGAACATCAAGCAAAAAGTGGGTGCTAGAAACAATATCATACGAAAGCTGACTGGCACAACCTGGGGATCACAACCAGACACAGTGAAGACATCTGCCCTTGCGCTGTGCTACTCTGCTGCTGAGTATGCATGCCCAGTGTGGAACACATCTCACCACACTAAAACAGTGGATGTGGCTCTTAATGAGACATGCGCATTATCACGGGATGTCTGCGCCCTACACCACTGGAGAAATTACACTGTTTATCTGGTATTGCACCACCTGACATCCGTCGGGAAGTAGCAGCCAATAGTGAAAGGACCAATGCAGAGACATCTCCAGCTCATCCCCTGTTTGGGTATCAGCCAGCACGTCAATGACTTAAATCAAGAAATAGTTTTCTAAGATCTACAGAGACACTCACTGGAACACCTCAGCAAGCAAGAGTCCAAAAGTGGCAGGCTCAAACCCAGAACCTCAATCAATGGCTGATACCAAATGAGAGACTCTCCTCTGGGCACACAGAAGACTGGGCAACTTGGAAGGCGCTGAACCATGAGACGCAGAGCCAACCTTAAAAAATGGGACTACAAAGTGGAATCCACGACATGCGAGTGTGGAGAAGAGCAAACCATTGACCACCTGCTGCAATGCAACCTGGGCCCTGCCACATGCACAACGGAGGACCTTCTTGCAGCAACACCAGAGGCACTCCAAGTGGCCAGATACTGGTCAAAGGACATTTAATAGAATATCAAGTCTGCAAACTTCGTATTTTGCTTATTTGTTTTTAATACAATACGACTGTTTTGGTTTGCTCTTGACACGATAAATAAAATATTATCAGCACAGGGAGATATGCCTTTTCAGAGATCCTTGAATTGTTCTAAGAGAGTAGCAGAGGTCCATGATGTTTCCCAGGCCTTCTCTATTGCCTTCCCACTAGACTGGCTTCTATTATTTATTATTTACTTATTTACTTTATTTATATACCGCTTTTCTCAGCCCTCTACTTTCCCCCTGCCCCCTATTTTGTTCTCCCTCCTAAGCAGTCAGGCCTCCACATCAACAGATTTTGCAATGCTTTGTCTAGTTGTTTGTTTGTCCAATTCTAGCACTCTCCACCCAAAATTGGCACGGCATGACAGTCCTGGGGAGATGAAAGGAAGGGCTGCCTCAAGAGAGACTGTATGGAAATGCTAGGAGTGGAGGCTTTTGTCAAAGGTGTGGCAAAAAGGCAGGGCCAGTATTAGCAAGGCTGACATTTTTCCCAGTGCTTGAACTTTAGGGTACCCCCCACCCCCAAATATTTAGATGTTACGCCCAACTGCAGCAAGCAGTCACTCCCTTCAGAGCAAACGATGTTGTTTCTCCACACCAAGGAATGCCTGAATGAATCAGATATTCATGCCTCAATTCCTCTTTTGTTATCATGGTAGCAAACACACAAGGATGATGACACACCAGAGCCTATCTGGGAGAGGTGGAAACCAATTAGCTGCTACACTAATTAACTTACATTCACATTTGGCCATTACTGTTTGAGAGCTAAGCCTGGGCTAGAAGAATATGAGAGGCAGGTGACATGGACTATATTTGGCTGGAACAAGACAGTGGCTTTTGTTCTGGAACAGCTGTTCCAGGAGCTCCAATTTTATTTGCTTTGAATTAAATGTTGGTTTGCAATCCCAGGCTTGGGATTTTGCAGCAGGGTGGCTTCCTGTTATAGTTTGCAATCATAGGGCAAGCCACCTGTCTATTATAGTTAGGATCCCTGGTCCCACCCCTCTCTGGGTTTTTTGGAGGGGAGGGGCCATTTTTCAGTTAGTTTCAGCAAAGGAAGTCAATGCAGAGGATGTATACAGACGTCCTCCTGTGCAAAGGCTTCATCCCTTAAGACTTTCCGGGGGAGAACAGGCTTGAGAGCCTCTGAAGATTCCCAAAGGTTCTGGTGAAACAGCCTTACAGCCCTGAGGAATTCCAGAGGGAATAACAGTTCTAACCATCAAAGCAGCTAAGTGATTACAAGCCTTTTGATAGGTTCGCTCGGCGTTGAGACGCAGTTCAGCCCGGTAGTGAATCCACATCAATAAGGTTTAAGTTCACAGCAGCCTGGGAGGAGCTAGAAAGGGGAATTTTCCTTTAAACAAGGTTTTTGAAGATAGTGCCTGTTCCCTGTGAATAAGATTGCAAGAGCCAAGAGACTGTTAAGAAAGTTTTACAATCCCTGTTTGTTCATCAATAAAAGACTGTTTAATACGGGAAATTTCTCTAAAGGCTTCTTTTCGGGGGCCCTGGCTTCCCGCTGGATCCAAGCCATACATCCTCTTTTAAAGGCACTTCATTTCAGGTCCAGCGGCGACAGAACAGCTTTTTTATTTTTATTTTTTTGCTCATTTAATCAAAAGGGGCTGTGCTGCTGATGTATATGCCAACTTTCAGAAGTCTTATCCAGCTTGATGTATTGTCGAAGGCTTTCATGGCCGGAATCACTGGGTTGTTGTAGGTTTTTTTCGGGCTATATGGCCGTTATAGAGGCATTCTCTCCTGACCTTTCGCCTGCATCTATGGCAGTGTTTCTCAACCTTCCTAATGCCGAGACCCCTTAACACAGTTCCTCATGTTGTGGTTTGGTGCATATTGACCTTGAGTTTTGGAGTTGTAGTTCACCTGCATCCAGAGAGCACTGTCGACTAAAACAATGATGGATCTGGACCAAGCTTGGCATGAATACTCAATATGCCCAAATGTGAACACTGTGGAGTTTGGGGAAAATAGAATCTTGACATTTGGTAGTTGTAGTTGCTGGGATTTATAGTTCACCTAAAATCACAGAGCATTCTGAACCCCACCAATGATAGAGTTGAGCCAAACTTCCCACACACAACCCCCATGTGGGCCACAGCAACGCGTGGCAGGGGACGGCTAGTCTATATAAATAAAAATGTAATGTTCGTTTGCTTGGCATGAATACTCAATATGCCCAAATGTGAACACTGGTGAAGTTTGGGGAAAATAGACCTTGACATTTGGGAGTTGTAATTGCTGGGATTTATAGTTCACCCACAATCAAAGAGCCCCTTGAATGCCACCAATGATAGAATTGGGCCAAACTTCCCACACAGAACCACCATGACCAACAGAAAATACTGGTGGTCTTTAGTGACCCCTCTGGCACCCCTTCGCGACCCCTCCAGGGGTCCCAACACCCAAGTTGAGAAACGCTGATCTATGGCAAGCATCCTCAGAGGTAGTGAGGTCGAATTAGGAAAATGGGTTTATATATCTGTGGAATGACCAGGTTGGGACAAAGAACTCTTGTCTGTTGGAGCTAGGTGTGAATGTTTCAACTGACCACCTTGATTAGCATTTGATGGCCTGGCAGTGGCTGGTGTAATCTTTTGTTGAGAGGTGATTAGATGTCCCTGATTGTTTCCCTTCTGTTGTTTTGCTGGTGTAATTTTAGAGTTTTTTTAGTACTGGTAGCCAGATTTTGTTCATTTTCATGGTTTCTTCTTTCTGTTGAAATTGTCCACATACTTGTGGATTTCAATGGCTTCTCTGTGTAGTCTGACATGGTGGTTGTTAGAGTGGTCCAGCATTTCTGTGTTCTCAAATAATATGGGCATATGGAATATGTGTGCCAAGTTTGGTCCAGATCCATCATTGTTTGAGTCCACAGTGCTCCCTGGATGTAGGTGAACTACAACTCCCAAACTCAAGGTCAATGCCCACCAAACCCTTCTAGTGTTTTCTGTTGGTAATGGGAGTCCTGTGTGCCACGTTGGGTTCACTTCCATCATTGGTGGAGTTCAGAATGGTCTTTGATTGTAAGTGAACTATAAATCCCAGCAACTACAACTCCCAAATGACAAAATTAATTTTTTCAGTGGTCACTCCTTGGGTTAGCAGGTACTTTGTGGCCAAATTTGGTGTCAATTTGTCCAGTAGTTTTTGAGTTCTGCTAATCCCACAAACAAACATTACATTTTTATTTATATAGACTAGCTGTCCCCTGCCACGCGTTGCTGTGGCCCACAAGGGGGTTCTGTGTGGGAAGTTCAGCTCAATTCTATCATTGGTGGGGTTCAGAATGCTGTGAATAAAGGTGAACTGTAAATCCCAGCAACTACAACTCCCAAATGTCAAGATGCTATTTTCCCCAAACTCCACCAGTGTTTACATTTGAGCATATTGAGTATTCGTGTAAAGTTTGGTCCAGATCCATCATTGTTTGAGTCCACAGTGGTCTCTGGATGGAGTTGAACTACAACTCCAAAACCAAAGGATACTGCCCACCAAACGCTTCCAGTATTTTCTCTTGGTCATGGGAGAACTGTGTGCCAAGTTTGGTTCAATTCTATTGTTGGTGGAGTTCAGAATGCTCTTTGATTGTAGGTGAACTATAAATCCGAGCAACTACAACTCCCTAATGACAAAATCAATTATTTGAGTGAAGGACATACATTGGGTTGTTAGGTGTATTGCGTCCAAATTTGGTGTCAATTCGTCAAGTGGTTTTTGAGTTATGTTAATCTCACAAACGAACATTACATTACATATATATAGCAAATGGTAAAGGAGAGGGAGCACACTTCTTGTCCCAGTTTTCCAAAGCATATGATGATGATGATGATGATTGGGTTGTTGTAGGTTTTTCGGGCTATATGGCCATGTTCTAGAGGCATTCTCTCCTGACGTTTCGCCTGCATCTATGGCAAGCATCCTCAGAGGTAGTGAGGTCTGTTGGAACTAGGAAAATGGGTTTATATATGGAATGACCAGGGTGGGACAAAGAACTCTTGTTTGCTGGAGCTAGGTGTAAAAACATTACATTTTTATTTATATAGATTGCCCATTGTAACCTGCCTCCCCATTTGAATCTCAATCCATTTCTGCCGCTCCTGGCACAAAATTAAAAGAAAGAAACAAGCATACGGGATATATTACTGCCTCTTTCTCTTTATTCACACCCTGTATTCCCAAGTAAACATGAAACAAGAAATGGGTGAACCCCATCCTCTACCTCTGTTTGTTCAGCTCCACCTCCTACACTTCAGAGGCACCTCTTGCTGCGTATAAAAACAAGCATGTTATTTTTTTTAAAAAGGAAGGCCAGGCAATGTGGATTCCCAAGACACAATAGACTTCAGAGTGCGTGTCACCCTGAACGGCCCCTTTGGTATTGCTGCTGCCCCATCAGAGGATGAGAGCCAAGGTCTTGGGCCCACGCAGCCTCCTGGAGAGTGAGGCTCCTAAGGCCTTTGGTGTCTGTCCCTCCGCGCAGCCACACCTGAAGCTGGATCTCTTTGGTATCTACGTCTGTTTGTCCAGGAGTCCTCAGGAGCCACTCGAGCAGAGCTTACTGTAGGCCAAGTTCCCCAAAACCAGCAGCAACATCTCCGAGGTGCTGCTCAGGGCCACAATGAAAGGAGCTTGCGAGGCAAAGTCAGCCTGGGCTCGTTGGAAGGAGAGCTGGAGCACAGCCAGAGCCAGCAGGCTGTTTTGCACCCCCACCTCGATGCTGACCGTCCGGCGCTGAGGCCCAGGCAACCTCAAACACCAAGCCAGGAAGTAGCCCAGCAGCAGACCAAAAACAGGCACGGTGACCCCTGCCAACACAATGGGGGGCTGCACGTTGGTCAGGATGAAAGCTCCCATGTGGTAAGCCATAAAGAGCCCCCCTATGATGAGCGTGAAGCTGAAAGGCTTAATCAGGAGCAGCAGCAGGCGGGAGAGGCGGGGCAGCTTACATTTGACCAGCATCCCAGAGGAGATGGGGACCGCGATGAAGAGGAGGGTGATGAAGATCTTCAGGAAGGGCACGTGGAGGGTCTCGTGCGCACCAAGCAACCAGCCGTAGAAGGTCGAAGAGAGCGGCATGAGACCTGTGGCTGCCACGGTGGAAAGGAGAGTCATGGAGATGGCCAGCGTGACATCTCCGCCCAGAAGGAGACTATACAGGTAGCCTCCTCCCCCGCCAGGCGAGGAGCAGGAAATAACCAGCCCCAAGGCCAGGGGCTTCGGCAACGAGAAGGCCACAGACATGAGGTAGCCATACACGGGCATGACCACGAACTGGCCCAATATACCCAGTATGACCGGGTGAGGCTGCCGCACAAGGGTTTGCAAGGCCTCTACCTCCACTTTGCAGCCAAACGCACATTTGTTGAGGAAGATCAGGGGCAGGAGGGCATAGAGGATGGGGTTCTCTGAGAAATGGCCCAGTCCTGACCGGACCACCAGTTCCGGATCGCTAGCGTGGACCCGGATCCGGAAATCTGCACGTTCTTCGATGAGGCGGTGGCTCTGATCCATCAAGCGTAGCTGCAGCGGTGCCAGGCCAACCAGGCCAGACTGAAATCCAACCAGAAAGCCTCCGCCCCAGGACGCACTGACGTTCTCAACAGCCACCACGGTCGGCTCCAGGGACTCGGCCATCAGCAAAGTTTCGGGTCCCTGATAGCGGGAGGACACCAGCAAGACGCCCTGGCTGTGCTCAGGGAAGCTGAATTCCGAAATGGTCCCATCGCCGATGATAAGGTAAGGGCTGTCAGGAGCCTCTCCCTGGGCCCAGCCAACCACCAATAGATAGAAGAGCTGGAAAAAGAGGAGGCCTGGCCCAGACATGGTGCAAAGGGTTGGCCAAGCCATGCCGAGGACTCATTCCAGACAGAGCTCCCTTTTCTTCCTCAGCATGCATGGGACATGGATCCTCTGGTCATGGGTTATGTCCTTTTCAGGTTGAGATCCATTGGCAGCTCTTCCTGAGGCCACAGTGATCTTGCAGTAGCATTGTACCTAATCAGTACTGAGAAAGAGGGAGAGAGAGTGCATGAATGTATTTAGATATGAAATAACCTGTCTTTGTATTGTCGAAGGCTTTCATGGCTAGAATCACTGGGTTGTTGTAATAATAATAATAATAATAATAATAATAATAATAATAATAATAATAATTTACTTGAGCAGTCATATGACTATTTCAAAATAGAACATGAGTAAAAAACAAGGCAAAAAGGTATTGTTGAAGGCTTTCATGGCTGGATCACTGGGTTGTTGTAGGTTTTTCGGGCTATATGGCCATGTTCTAGAAGCATTCTCTCCTGACATTTTGCCTGCATCTATGGCAAGCATCCTCAGATAGCGGGAGGACACCTCACAACCTTTGAGCATGCTTGCCATAGATGCAGGCGAAACGTCAGGATTACAAGCCCAAAAATTACAAATAAAATACAACAGATTAAAAACATCAGATATAAAATATAAAAACAATCACAATTGTAAACAACATCAAAACAATATGGCTGAGATAAAGAACATAGCTGAGGTTCTGGCTCACTGAATACAATAGGGAATCTTTGGTCCACTATGATCCCCTGAAGATGCCAGCCACAGATGCAGGTGAAATGTCAGAAGAAAATGTTACTAGAACACAGCCATATGAGTCCTATGAACCATTGCGGAGATTAAGATCCTCCGGGGAGGCCCTGCTTTCCATCCCGTCATTGTCACAGGCACGATTGGTGGAGACGAGAGACAGGGCCTTCTCGGTGATTGCTCCCCGGCTATGGAACTCAAGTCCTGGTGAGATCAGGTCAGCCCTTTCCCTCCTGTCCTTTAGAAGGATGGTCAAAACTTGGCTGTGGGACCACGCTTTCGGGACAGAGCAATAAAACGGCAATAGGAAAGATGACCAGGCCAATTAGATTTGATGCAGATCACTAGGACTGTTTTAAATGGTGTATTTTAATATTTTGATTTTTTTTTTAATGTTTATGTATTGTATGTGAATTTGTGTCCTGGCATTGAATGTTTGCCGTGTATATGCTGTGCTCCGCCCTGAGTGCCCTTCGGGGTGAGAAGGGCGGAATATAAATGTTTTAAATAAATAAATACAGCCCAGAAACCACACAACACCCCATTTGCTCCACTATATTTTGAGGAACTACTACTCCCATCATGCCTCAATGTTGCCCAGCTAAGACTGCTGGGAGTCTGAGTCCAAGAATATATAGGAGGTGCTGTGTTTTTCAGCCCCAACTAAGCTTGGATGAACCAATGAGGGCTGTGAAAGAGACAAAGGTCTCTCCAAAGTATGGCAACAATTGCAATCTGTGCAGCCTTATGTTCTGCAGGCACATCCAACTTGGGCCAGTCAAAACAACCCAAACTAGGTTGTTTCCTGGACCAGCCAAATTGTGTGTGTGAGTGAAAGAGTGGCATACAGAAGTGAGTAAGAGCTTTAGCTTTGCAGATGGTTGAGAGTAACCTGATCTCCCTTGGTCATGAGGCATCCCAGTGGTTAGAAAGGTCAACAAAACAGATATTTTGAAATCATAGCAGAACATGATATCTGCCAGCTCTTGACCATGGACTGTGCAACCCTTATGTCCCCTTGAAAAGATGCCTTTCCTAATACAAGGAGGCATACTCCCACTCATGTGCCTGTACTCTGAGCAACTCTGAGGCCACCCAGACCCTGTTGGACTACAACTCCCATTATCCTGACTGCACTGACTCGAGATGCTGAGAGCTACAGCAGCATCTGGAAGGTCCCACTTTCTCCTACATAGGATAATGTATATATCTCCTGTATATGTGACCCCTACTCCCAGCACCAACCACCAGAATGAAGACAGAGGAGGCCGGGGGACAGTCCCACCTTATCTCCTGTGCTATGCTAATATATATTATATTGTATATACATATAATATTTTGGCCAAATCATGAGAAGAAAGGAAAGTTTAGAGAAACAACAATGCTGGG